TTTTTAAAATCCATATTATAAAATAGTGGGTGCGCCCTGACCCCCAGTTTGTAAAGTACCTGTATGCCTACAGACAGCCTCAGATGCACAGAAAAAACACTGGAAGTCTACACGGCAAAACTTCACGGGGTTATCACTGCATGGAAGAATGATGGTTATGTTTATTTTCTCTGAGTTATTTCTTGCATTTTCCAAATCTTCCTGTTTTATAATCAGAAACATAGAAGGAATAAAGAAGTAAAAAAAAAAAAAGTGATGCAAGAGAAATCTTGCAATATACTGTTTAAGACCTTGGCCAATGGTCTTCTTGGGAAATGCAGAATTTCAGTGAAATCACATCTTGGATTGCAGAAGGCTCCTTTGGGACTGTGCTGACATCACCCACCCTGTCTTCACATTTCTAGGGCCTGGCCTGGTGCCAGGCATGTGGTAAGGATGGAGTCATCAGTGTGCGTCGTGCGGGCCACTTGCCCTCCTAGACTGGCCAGTGTGGCTCCTCACTGAGAGGGGCCCATGAAGAAAAGCTGCCACTTCCGTAGAAATGGACCTTCTCTGAATTGCTTTCCTTTCTGAGTACAAAAATTGGTATTTGCAGCTTCTTTTTGGAAGAGTGGAGCAAGGTGCAGGAATTCCCTGGTGGTCCAGTGGTTAGGACTCTGCGCTTCCACTGCAGTGGGCCCGGGTTTGATCTCTGGTTAGGGAACTAAGATCCTACAAGCTGTGCGGTGCGGCCAAAAAAAAAAAAAAAATGGAGCAAGGTGATCACCAAATCCCTTTTATGAATTTAAGTTCCTATCTAAGAGGCAGTCTGGTTGCCATTAAAATAAAGACCATCTTTAAAGCAACAAGCCTTGGGGAGGCGGATCTTCCAAGATTAGGCATCTTGGTGACAAGCAACAGGAGTTAATTCTAGCCAATTCAAGCAGGAAAGAAATGCATTGGAAAGGCTCCCTCTTTGTCCGCCTCAGGAAACCAAGTGTCGTCACAATAGGACTCCAACCATCAGGCCCGGCGCCAGCCCCTCTTTGTATATCTCAGTCCTCGCAGTTGCTGTAAGGCTGACCCCTACATCTCCTCAGGCGAGATTCCCACAACAGTGAGCTGAGGACAGTCCCCAGGCAAATGGTTGGCTTGACGGAACACACTTTTATCCAGTCAGCAACCCCTATGTGATGGGTATGAGGGGGGATCTGAGGGCTGGAGCAGAGACCACCAACAAGTGGCAGGACGAGCCAGTGAGAAGGGCCCTGGCGGCACAAGTTTGCAAACCCTGCCAAGGACACCCACCTGAGGGGTGCATGCGGAGGCCGAAACCCAGCGAGGCCCTGCTCCCCAGGCTCAGAGCCTCGGCTGCATCCACCTTGCCTTTTCCTAAGTGTCTGCTCACCTTTCTAATTTTTATAAAGCATGGCATGTGTTAGGTATGGCTGGGCCACCAGATCTCATTGACAGATACCTGCCCTGGGCCCCTGGAATGTGAATACTTCACGACCAGGTGCTGATCACTTGTCCCACTGGACTTAGCTTTTTCGTTTGCCACTTTCTACTTGGCTTTTGACAGATAGGTGTGATATGGACAGCAGGGGGGATTACAGGCCCGAGGCCCGCAAAAGCCCGTGCCCTTTCCCAAGAACAGCATAGCTCTCATGCCCTCCACTTTGCATGTGCCCGAAGGCCACTCAGTGCCCTTGGGCCTCCTTGGAGAAGAAGCAAGAGGTGGCCCTCCCTGCGCCCTGCTGGCCTGGCTGAGGTGGTCACTCAGCTGTGAACACTCAGGGCAGCTTGGCCTGAGGTCTTGTGGGAGCCCGCTTTGATAGGATGGGAGGAGGGGAGGCAGGAGCGAGACTTTAAGTGTTTACGGAGGGATAAGCGCCCTTTGCACTCTGCTCCAGAATAGATCCTAATTTTGCAAGGAGATACTCTGACCTCTGCAAGGACTTATGTCTCAGACCCGATAGATGTAGATATATAGGTAAATAGATGATCCGTAGGCTACCCGCAGAGAAGTTTGGAGAGGAAACTGCAGGCTGGAAAGCATTTTCATACAAACTTGATGAAAGTTTTTCCAGAGGGAAATTAAGAAAACCACACACAGAAAAAGGCCCCTCCTCTTTAGCTCAGAAACTAGACTGTCCATTTTTATATTTGGTGGATCCTCGTCTCCATTTTTACCATTTTATCTTAGAGCGGAAGAGGCAAGGGAGCATGGTACTAACACTAACAGTAATTAATGACCATAAGCAGTGAATACAACTCTCACAACAAGGGCTCAGTCTGTGGTTTCCTATTGTCTTGTCGCCAAGGGACATGTGATGTCAATCCACCCTGGTGACTCTGTACCTGGCCCCATGGACTAAGGGGATTTCGCAGCCTTGGCCACCTAGGGCCACAGCACAAAGCTGAGCTTCACCAGTGAGTTGGTTAAAGGGTTTATAGAGTTTGCAGTGAAACTCCTGCCAGGAAGATAATTACATTTCTGGCTTTTGACACAAGGTGGGACTTCACAACAGAAACCAATAGTAAGCAGTAAAGTCTGCTGAGGCCTCAAGAGGACAGGGTTTCTCAGTCTCAGCACCATTGGTATGTGGGGCTGGACAATTCTTTGTTGTCGGTCTGTGCTGTGCATTGCAGGATGTTCGGCCACACCCCTAGCCTCTCCCCTACCCACTGGATGCCAGTAGCAATCCCCTAGTATGACAACCAAAAATGTCTCCAGATATACCAAATGTCTCTGTGGTGGAGTGTGTGTGTGTCTAAAATCTCCCCCCAGTTAAGAAGCACTGCTCTAGTGGCTAATAGCAGGGGCCCTGGAATCAGACTGCTCAGATTCAAATCTTAGTGCCTGCAACCTGTAGGAGCACTGAATGAGTTAAAAAACATAAAGGTAAGGCTTCCCTGGTGGCACAGTGGTTGAGAGTCCGCCTGCTGATGCAGGGGACACGGGTTCGTGCCCCGGTCCGGGAAGATCCCACGTGCCGCAGAGTGGCTGGGCCCGTGAGCCATGGCTGCTGAGCCTGCGCGTCCGGAGCCTGTGCTCTGCAACAGGAGAGGTCACAACAGTGAGAGGCCCGCGTACCGCAAAAAAACCAAAAACCAAAAACATAAAGGTAGGCTACCACATAATTTATCTTCCAAACCGGAGCAATTTGAGAGCGAAAGAGGGTTATAATAATCTCATAACCTGAGACTGTCTCAGCAACAGGGATGTGTGGTCAGCCATTAAGTCCACACACAGTGTTGAGCACAGAGCCTGACCCAGTGTCCCCTGGATGACAACTGTGCTAAGTGTGTTACAGGTAGGAACTTTATTTAATCCCCCTAAACCCTATGAGGTGGTACTGTTATTATACCCTTTTTTTTTTTTCTTTTTGCTGTACAGGGGCCCCTCACTGTTGTGGCCTCTCCCGTTGCGGAGCACAGGCTCTGGACGCGCAGGCTCAGCGGTGGCCATGGCTCATGGGCCCAGCCGCTCCGTGGCATGTGGGATCTTCCCAGACCGGGGCACGAACCCGTGTCCCCTGCATCGGCAGGCGGACTCTCAACCACTGCGCCACCAGGGAAACCCTATTATACCCTTTTGATACACGGGAAGATTGAAACACTTAAAGCTAAAATAACTTGCCTAAGGTCACACAGTGAGTAGCACAGTCAGGATTCGGGTCCTGGCAGGCGAGTGTCCGTGCCTGTGTTCTAACCACTGTCCATGTGTGCTTGGGGGTCACAGGAAACACAGTGCTGCTGAACGTTCAGCGAACCCCACATGGACTTCTAGCTCTGGGTTTTTCACAGTTTCAACATTAAACCCATTGACAAATCTGGGTTTTCAGGGGTTACTGTGATGGAAAGCGAATACATGGAGATCAGTGTGGAGCAGGAGATGAGAGTGGCAGTGTCCCTCCAATTCCCAGCTTTGTGGAGCTCAACGGGGACACCCATCCCTTTAGGAAGTCATTATTTAAGAAAGAGATGAAAATTTTATTTTTAAAATTCATTCATTTATTGTTTTCCCAGATGGCTTCTAAGTTGTTAGGACATAAAGTCAAGTTTTTTTGGACCCAGCTGCTTAATAAATGGAACTGCTGGGTATTTCTTTTGGCCTACAGGTGCCATGAAGGTGATGTGAAAGGAGAGAGTTTGGGAACATCTGTACTCACCATTTTGCCATTGGGAGAACTCTGGAGGGTAATGATGAAGAAGGCTTTCTGGCACAGAGACCCCACTCTGGTTGTCCACTCTGGGGAAACCTCTTCCTGCCTCCGTGGTACTTGCACGCACGCGTGTTACCAAATCCCACTTGACTTACCTTTATTTCAATCTCTTGCCCTTTATCAACTGTGTCGGGAAGCAAACTGCTTCTCTTTTACTACCTGAATTTAGTCAAGGTTCAAGTTGAACATCTCCCACTGACATGCAATCTGCCCTTCAGGTCAGAGGTCACATTGCCAACTCAGACCCCAAATGCCACAGTGATAAGCAAACACAAATGCACCCCACCCCCGTGCCAGAGAGCACCTCAAGGCTGGTACACCAAACTTTTAATAAATACACAGAGATGATTACAAGACAGATGGCCTGGTAGCATGGCAAAGGGGAAGACGGTGAGGGTGTGCATGGTGGGACAGTGTCTGGCCAGGGCAGTGGTCACTGGGTCTAGGGCCACAAGCATACTTTCATTCTCTGTCTAATTTACCATAACAGAAAACTAGACAGCAGGGGTGTGGTGGAAACATCTGGGTCAGGGCCTTTTATTACTAACCAGGGGCCACCCTGGACAAGTCACTTCTTGCTGTGCCTCAGTTTCCTCATCTGTAAGGGGACTGGATTGTCCAGTGCTTTTTAAATTGGGGTGACAGAGGCACATTCACCACCTGTGTGTGCATTTGGAGTGTCTGTCTTTCCGGGGTGCTAAGTTTATTCAAGATTTTGGGGGGCCCACTCTTTTTACATTAAAGCATTTTATATCTTTGTTCAGAAAACAGAATTTACATGGATTTTAATTATGGTAATTAATAATTGATGAAGTTTCGTGAGCAATTACTGTGTGCCAAGTGTGAATTCCTTTATATGATCCTCACAATTACCCAATGAGATATTATGTCCATTTATAGATTTTAAAAAAACAAGGGCACAGAGAGATGAACCAATCTACCCAGTCACATGTTACTAAGCAATGATAAACAACTGGTTCCCTTGCCCCCCAAAAAGATCTGGGCCCATTGCAAGGATTTATCCGCAGGCCCGTGAGACTTCTCTGGTGAAGCCTGAAAAGCACAGGCCAAAATAATCTCACATTTTGCGATCACAGGTCCAGCTCTGGCACTCCTAAATCAGTTTTAGCTAAATCAGTGGATTAAGGTCATCCTCCGGGTGCCCCTGGAGGATGAAGGGGGCTGGGGAGGCCTTGGGGGGTTTCTGGGGGTTCACTAGGTGAGGTTTCCGGGCCGCTCGGGCGCTCCTGTTCGGCCCGAGAGCGGCCTCTGCCTGGGCTGCCGCCTCCCTCCCAGCTTGGGTGTTTCCAGCCGGCGTTGCCGGTACTTCCTCGTTCCCGCGCGCGCCCCAGGCTTAGCTCGCAACGCCCAGCGCCGGCGCTGCTCAGGCGGGAGGGGGCCAGAGGGGAGATGTCGCAACCGTCTCCCTCCCTCTTTCCCCGCCTTCGCACTCAGTCACCTCCCAGATGAGCCCGCTCGCAGACGGCTGCGGGCCGCGGTGTGCCCGGCATGTCCCCTCAGTGCGCGCAGGCGGCGGGCATTGGGCCCGCGCGCAGCCTGGAGCGGACCAACCGCACCCGCTTCCCGTTCTTCTCCGATGTCAAGGGCGACCACCGGTTGGTGCTGAGCGCCGTGGAGACTGTGGTGCTGGCACTCATCTTCGCGGTGTCGCTGCTGGGCAACGTGTGCGCCTTGGTGCTGGTAGCGCGCCGACGGCGCCGCGGCACCACAGCCAGCCTGGTGCTCAACCTTTTCTGCGCGGACCTGCTCTTCACCAGCGCCATCCCGCCCGTGCTGGCCGTGCGCTGGACAGAGGCCTGGGTGCTGGGCCCGGGTGCCTGCCACCTGCTCTTCTACGTGATGACCCTGAGCGGCAGCGTCACCATCCTGACGCTGGCGGCAGTCAGCTTGGAGCGCATGGTGTGCATCGTGCGCCTGCGGCGCGGCGTGCGGGGCCCGGGGCGGCGGGCGCGGGCCGCGCTGCTCGCGCTTATCTGGGGCTACTCGGCATTCGCCGCGCTGCCCCTCTGCATCTTCTTCCGCGTCGTCCAGCAGCGGTTCTCCGGGGACGACGAGGTGAGCGCCGGTGTGTGCACGCGGGGCAGGTGTCCGGGAAAGGCTGGCAGGCGGGTTGCGCCGGAAACGGTGATCTGGGATGGTCATTAACAAAAACAACAAAACAATAATAGGCCGTTTGCTGCATTTAATCGTTGTGTCACCGTGCGCGGCACTAAGTTTTATCTGTGAAATTTCACTGTGACCCTACGATGTAGATCTCATAAACGCCCTCCAAAACGTTGTAAGTGGAGCCCCCGTAATGGCAGTAAAGTGCACTGACTATTGAGAGATTAACGGGGTAAGGGGCTTAGCGGCCAGACAGACCGAACTAGGGGACCCGGAATGACTGATCACATTATAGTTAATTCTGCTTTCTCGCAGTACTCTTATTATCACACCTATTTACAGATGAGGAAGCTAAGGTACCCAGAGAGTAACTTGCTCAGGGTGTCTCAGCCTTAGCGCGAGGAGGAGCTAAGATCGCGCTCAGCAGATTCAGTGCGGGCCGGATGAGGGTCCTGCTTTGAGAATCGCGGGCAGGTGTGTGTGAATGGGCCGGGGAGAAAGGGCTTTGTTGACCCAGAGACCCCGGACCTAGTGCTGCCTCTAGCGGGGCTGTGACTTCCCCTCCGGAGCCTCAGTTTTTCCAACTGCAAGACGGAAAGATTAGACTAGACCATGGGATCTTACCCTGGGAGCTTTGAATGAAGAGTGGCTTCAGAGTATCTTGGACGCCCCAAATGTTCCGAAGATTCCAGAGGCTGAGCCCATAAGCGTTATTCTGGGCACCGCACCCAGAGTTGTCATTAGGATCATTGCGGGGGTCCAGGATCTAAAAAAGATTCTGCGCACAGTTCATGACATTGGCTCGAGGCTATTCCTGTCCCGCGGTACAGAATTGCGGGCGCAGGTTTGTTCTCTTTGCCGCCCTGTGGCGCCGCTGCCGCGTTTGCGCGCGGAGATTCCCCCGGGACACCTGACCTGGACAGTGGCCGGCGGTTCTGGCTGTTATCGCGGTGTTAGGTTCTGTGGGCCTCGCGGGGAGGGCCAGGGACAGAGGTACGTACGCCCCACGGGAAGGCGCGAGTCTTGAGGCTCAGCCTCCTGGAGTGTCTGCCCGAGGCTGGGTTCTCCGCCCCGTTCCTTTTCCCTACGACAGCAGTCGCTGGTTTTCTGGCCGTGGGACATTAAAGCTCAACCTTGGCCCTAGGAAGGAGTGTGGGGCCTCCCAGCAGAAATCACAGTCCCAAAGAGAGCCCTAAGCAGTGACCAGAAGGGGTGGGAGAGCCGGGAGGGAGGGGGGAAGGCTTCTAGCTATGAAGGTGAACGTAGGCTGACGTGAACGCAGTAGTGGGCTTCTCTGGACGTTTCCCAGACTGGTCTCTCACACAGGCCTTTCACTGGGGAGAGAAGTCTGCATCCTGTGTGAGATATATATATATATATATATATATATATATATATATATATATATATA